CTGATGTGAAGCTTTGTATGAGAAAACAGCTTGACCGAACGACGTTTTCCTACGTGGAATTATACAATTTGCTCTAATTGCACCTCTTGTAATTCTGTTTTCAACAGATTTAGATTTAATAAAATCTGCCAAAGGAGGTGGAGCCAAACCATGCATAATCCTATAAACTAAACAAACATTTTTAAATTTGATAAGATTTTCCCAGTTAAACAGTTTATACTTATTTAAAATGTGACAGTGATGAAAACTAAATTGTTTTTTATCTAAAATTTTTAGTGCTTGTTTGTATAGTGATTCTAATGGTTTTAGGACTATCAAATTTGTGTTTGACCAGCTTGTCAAACAATATGTGACATGAGAAAGAATCATAGAATGGAAATATATCTTTGCTGCCTGATTTGATAAACAATTTCTAATAAACCTAAAATTAACCAAGTTAAATTTAATCTTTTTGCAAACTGTTTTTACGTGAGTTTTAAAACCAAGATAGGAGTCCAGATGTACCCCTAGATATTTGCATTCTAAAACAACTTGCACTCTTTCTCCTGAAATAAAAATGTCCTGTTTTTTATCAGATCTATGTCCTTTAGAAAAGAACATACAAACTGTTTTTGCCACATTTAACCTCAGAGAATTCTGATTAAGCCAGGATGTAACTTTTACCATAACGTCTGTCAATTTTTTTGCAATCTCTTCTGCATTTTTACCATTTGTAAAAATGACTGTATCGTCAGCGTACATTAAGATATTACATTGTTCACACTCCTTGGGTAAATCATTAATATACATGCTAAAGAGTATTGGGCCCAGTATGGACCCTTGTGGAACACCAGTTGATAGACCTAATAAATTAGATTTAAAATTATCAATTCTTACTAATTGAGAACGGGAAGAAAGGTAAGAAATTACAAATTGTATAGAAAAGTTAAAATCATACAGTTTTTGCAAAAGATTGTTATGGTTTAGAGTATCAAATGCTTTCTGTAAATCAAGAAATACAGCCCCAACCATTCCACCTTTATCCATTAATGCTTTTACCTTTTCTGTAAAGTAACATTTTGCAGTTTCTGTTGAGTGATTTGCCCTAAAACCAAATTGCATCGGATGTAATTGGAAGGAACTATTATTAAGATGATCAATAATTTGTTTGGCCACTATTTTTTCAAAAACCTTTGATATTGTAGGTAGGACACTGATGGGCCTATAATTACAAGGTAAGCAAGCGTCGCCTCCCTTAAATATAGGAGCCACAACCGCTGGTTTCCAAGAACTAGGGAATATCCCTTGATTTATTGAACTATTAATGATATGTGTTAGAGGGTTGACTATTGAAGAACTAATTTCTTTTAGTAAGAGTGTATCCATACCATAAATATCCTTTGCCCTTGAGGACCTCAATGACATGACCACTCTTTCAACCTCTAACTTAGTTACTGGTCTTGCTGTGTCACTTGCATTAATTGTTTGTAGATTAGGTTGTTGTACAGTAAAACTTTGGGCTATTTTATCCACTGACTCAACGAAATAGTGATTAAGGGCCTCAATGGATGAGACGCTAAACCCAGGTCGACCGATATCCTGGCCAAATGTGCCCAGTGGCCAGGGGCGGAGCTACATGGTGGCCAGGGGGGGCCACGGCCACCATTGGTCAAGGCTCGGCCCCCCTGCCGGCCCCCCCAACCTCACGGGAAAATAAATGTAATAATAATAAAAAATAAAAATAAAAACTCCAGTAATGGTCTAAAAAGGAAGCTGAAATGTATGCATTTTTTAATCAAGTCATTGATTTGTCACTTGTTGGGTCTCGCCCCCATCAACATAACGTGCCTGCATTCTGACAGCGCTTGGGCTGTTTACACCTGGCCACTTCATGCATTTTCTCAGATCGGATAGCTATCTGATTTATCAAAACGATTCCATTAACACCTGGTCACATAAATGTGTTTTTGCAAAACGGATATAAATCCGATCTTCAATTCCCGCGTTACAGATTTAATGACGTCACCTAAAGCAAATATGAGTTGGATTTTATTGATCATCGGCTAATTTCAAAATCAGCAAAGACGGTGATAAGAGAGAGCGGCAACAGAACTGGCAAGATCATTTCGTTTCTTTACTTTTAATGAAGATGGTAGTGTTAATCGTCTGCGACTTACTTTCACTTTGATTTGCGATAGATTGCGGCGCGTTGGCTTGCGTTCAGCCGCTCATCTGAGGTGATGATGCGCGTCGCAGTAGCGTCGTCATATATCTGACTAAAATAGCATGACATGTAGCCTGTAACACGCTCTCACGCGTTTCTTTTTTTTTAGCATTTTTGGGAGTATTACCATTGACATATGTGCATGGTTTCAAGAACAAGATGCATTTGCACTTGTCCAGTTTCGTCTGGAATGCGGCCCAGACCACCTTCTGAAGTGGTTTGAGTGATCGGATTCAAATCCGTCTCGAATGCGTTTCGGGGGGCATTTACACCACGTCTTTTCACGATCGGATAGCTATCCGATCACAGAAAACGCATGAAGTGGCCAGGTGTAAACGGCCCCTATAATGTATAGGGTTCTTTAATCAACTCCGAAGGACATTTTATGCTAAAAAAGGTTCAAAACTGACAAGAAAGAACCCTTTTGGCTCAAAGGTTTTTTTAAAGGCTATTATTCATTCATATATTACATTATTCTGCAACATTTGTAGTTGTTATTAAATTATTGTTTATTAAACTGTTGTAGTAACTTAATATCACATTTTAATCATGCAGAATTTTAGAGGATAAAAAGTGAAATGGCACTCTTCGTCTGATATTGATTAATTACATTTTTTAACCACCATATAGACGAATCCGGCGAAACTACCGGAAGCAAGCGGGGCGCCATTACTGAGCTGTTGCTGGGTAGCGTTGCGCCATTGCCTCCTATTGTTTTAGTTGCAACTTGCGTCCACTGGAATAAACAGCTTGCGATTTACGACTGTCACTAACGTTACAACGTTAGCCCTTGTATAATGTCGAGTGGGTAAACAGTTTCCGTTATAAATTGTTTCAATGGTGGCAGTAAAATTTCAATTTTGAAGAGAAAACACTGTGAATACCCCAGGTCGACTGCCCCTGTCTGGTGCCGTACGGTTTACAGATTTCCTGGGCGAGTACAAGACGTGGACATTCGCGTATAATAACAATTATTTAATGACATAAGTAAAAAAATATATAATAAATATGTGATATAATGATCAGCAAAATCTCCTCTCTTGCTATTTTTTCTATTAAATTAACATGCTATGGTCATTAAATGGCTTTCCTGAGCTAAATGTAACGTTATGTGACATATTGTTCTCCCGCTGTTATATTGACCTCTTTCCATGGTTTAAAAACACTAATTGGTCGATATTATGTATACTTTCTAGCTGTAACGTTACCTTACCCTTGCCTGTTGCAATGTGAAAATGAGATAAATAATGGACACAAATGAAAAACATGAATTTGTTTATTTGATTTCATTTATTTATTTATTGTTGCCAAATGGACAGATCTTTTTATAGTTTCCTCGTTAGCAAACGTTAGCCTAGCTAGCTTGCCAAGCTATTTTCATAAATAACGGTAATCTGTAAGATCGTTTGTACCTTCATCTGTGACTGGAGGCCACTGCAGTCACAGATCAAACCAACAAGTCATTCTGCCTGGCTGTAGCTGTCATCGAGGGTGAGTTCGCGTTATCACCGAGGTTTGTTTACATACCGGTGCATATGTCTATATGCCTGTGTAACAGCTCAGTAATGGCGTCGCCACAAGATGGCAGCCTACACAGAACGCTCGTCGGATTCGTCTATATTGAATTTTGTGATCATTCACATGCATTGCATTTTAAGGGTTCCAAATACGTAACGCTTTAGAACCTTTTAAGGTTCTATATTGAACCTTTTCTTCTAAGAGTGTAATTGTTACAGCAGACACAAAGCGAACAGAACATTTCAGGGTAACACTTTAGAATACGGTTCCTTCGTTAATGAATAACTACACAAGAACCAATGAGTAACACGTAACAATTTAGTAACTATTATTAACGAACAAGAAACTCTGATTAACAAACTAGTAAGTAATAGCGCACAGATGAAAGTGGTAGTTCACTATTAAGTAATCAATAACTTCTATTTTTTTAATACTTCCCAGAGAACTACTGAAAAAGTTTATTAACAATCTAACTACTATTAACTAAAAGAAACTCTTATTAACGAATTAGTAAGTAATAGCTCACAGATGAAAGTGTTACTAGATACTTCTGTGGGAATTACTAATTATTTGGATTCGTATTATAAAGTGAAGATCATTGGAACTAACTAGCCTAATGACTCAAGTGTTACTAAAGACATTTTCTAAAAGTATACTAAAGTTCACCAAAAAATCTCAAACGGTTGCACAAATCATGACTAGATCATGTAGTAACACTTGAGTCATTACTAGTTAGTTCCAATGATCTTCACTTTATAATACAGATCCAAATAATTAGTAAGTAATAGCTCACAGATGAAAGTGTTACTAGATACTTCTGTGGGAATTACTAATTATTTGGATCCGTATTATAAAGTGAAGATCATTGGAACTAACTAATGACTCAAGTGTTACTACATGATCTAGTCATGATTTGTGCAACCGTTGTAACTTATCACAAATAAATTGGATGTTGCACTTAAAATGCAATGGTTTACCTAAATAAATTATCGCCTAATATGACAATTCATATTGTGTCTTTCTGTCATTTGCACTAAAAACATCCCTGTCTCATGTTAAGGTCCCTAACCCCTGACATAATGATGACACATTGCACTCGCACATTTATCAATTAGACATTATTAGTGTCATAAGGGAGTTCAATCCATTGTTTATGGCCTGACGAGCCGCGTGTGAGTTTTAGTAATAGTAGTTTTTGACAATCAAGTGCCACCCCAAATAAAAGACTGGCACAAGCTGGCCCCCCAGAAATAATGTCCTGGCTACGCCCCTGCCAGTGGCCTCTGTCCATCATCTCTGAAAATCACTTATAGCTCATTTCATTCACAGTGGAGTAATTTAAAGTTCGTCTTGTGTGTCTGATCATTACGGAGTTCCTCACTGAACTGTACACATTTTCTGTCGTGCTAGTTTCCGTGTGGCATTGATTGCAAGTCTAACAGCCTCTGCATGTCTGAATCCTTTGCTCTCAGCCTCCTTTATGGTACTCTCCTTCTCCTCAGAGGTCACCATCTTCTCCAGTGATCTGCGTATATCTGATACAGTCACATTAGGATACATAAGAAGTTCTCCCACGAATGTGTCAGAAAAAGATTTCTTAGCTTTGTGTCGTGACTCTTTTGCTAAACGCCAGTATATTCCCTGCCATTCTGTTTGAAGCACTCGTACGTTTTTCTGTTTGAACTGCTTCACTTCCTCATCCAGGATTGGCTTCTGGATCTCCTGAATGCATTTCTCTGTTCCTTTAAACATCTCATTTGTAAAGTGTCCATTTTCTTCCATCATCTTCTCTATTTTGCTGATCAGATCTTTGAACTGTGGGAAACTGGCAGAATCATTGTCTAAACAGAAGTATCGATTTCCACAGTTCTGTACAAGGGTTTGAAGACCTGGATCAGCATTCTGTAGAAACTGCTCAATAGTTACATTATTCTTCTCTAACTGATCTTTGTGAGTGAAGATGATCATGGAATATTTTTCCATAAATTCTCCAAACACTTCTTTAAGCTCTTTTATTGTATTCTTCTCCTCCTCAGTGAATCGACCCACTTTTATGACGATAATAAAAGCGTGTGGTCCAGGAGACGTGTAAGTTATGCATTTCAGTATTTCGGTCTTAACTTCCTTTTTACTGAGTTCAGTATCATAAAGTCCAGGTGTGTCGATCACTGATATCTGTTTACCGATCCTCACTGTAGTTTCTGCCTGACACTGTTTCGTCTGAGACTTTGAACTGATAGAGGATTTAAACAGGTTTCTGCCGATGATGGTGTTTCCAGTGGCGCTTTTCCCACATCCAGTTTTTCCCAGCAGAACCAGCCGGATCTCTTCTTTCCTCTCAGGATCTTCTGGTGGAGACTCTCCTGAAACTACAACAGAACGATCACAACACTCATCAACATCAATGTGCTGTTTATTTAAAGCTTAATATTCTCAAAAAACTCTCTTTTTAGGTCAGTCGCGAAAGTTTTTAGAGTTTTAGTTTTTAGAGTTTAGATTTTTTAAGACAATTTCAAATTCCCTTTATTAATTTTAGCATGAAAAATCATATATTGTTGAAGTAATTTAAAACATAAAAATAATAACTGTCTCATTGCTGTCAATCCTTTTGATTGTTCTATTTAAAAAACAAAACAAAAAAAACTTACAATTGACATCAGGCACATCTTTGCTTGATCTCCTTTTTATTTTTGCCATGACAAATTTCCCTCCATTTTCTCCCATTAAATCGTCAATCTTCTGCAGTAGATCTTTTATAATCTTCTTTTTTTTTAAACAATGAAACTTTCCTCCAAATTTAGTCACCAGTTGCTGGAGATCCGCATGATCTTTATTCTGTAGATGTTCCTCAATGGTCTGATTCTTGCCCAGTTTATCTCCACGTGTGAACAGAATCATGATGTACTTCTGAACTTCAGGACCAAATAAACGCTTGATATAATCCAGGATCTCTTCCTCATTTTCTAAAGGCTCCTCTAGAGGAACGGTGAGCAGAACTGCACTGAGTCCTGCTGAACATCGAGAGATCAGCTGATCCTTCATCTTCTCCAGCTTCTCTTTATTCAGATCTGGATCCAGTAGATCTGGACAATCAATCACACACACCTGCTTCTCTCCAATCTGAGTTTTACCCTCACACACTTCAGACTCATGTTTCTTCCTTCGCTTTTGGACTGTAAATGTTACTTTTCCCAGTATAGTGTTTCCAGATGAGCTTTTCCCAGAACCCGTCCTGCCCATCAGAAGAATCCGGATCTCTGGATCATCTGAACTGGAGCTGCTGATCGATGACATCTCTGAAATAAAAATATAAAATAATACATCAGGTCAAGTTGTCACTCTTTCTTAATACAGGCAGCCAGTATATTACAAAAAGAGCAAAATGTAGTTTGTTTAAAAAGAAACCTCAGCAGAAAGATGGAGGAACTGCACAATGTGTCCATCACAGGAACTACTGAGCTTGAGCATGTCTTTTATAGAGCATGAGCTTGTCTAAAACAACATGTGGACAGAGCAATAAACTGCAGTGTCTGTAATGTAAGGCGCCAAAGGCAGGGCTACAGCTCACTGCAAGAATTGGCAAATATTTGAAGATGAGTCAGTCCATGAAGATGAGATGCTCTGTAGCACTTAAAGCAGCGGCTGGACACCATCAACTGACTGCTGCTATTTACATTTTACTCTTGATATTGCCCCTTTAGTCAGGGACTCATTTGATTTATTTTCGTCAAATGTCTGTGAAATTTTTAAAATTTTTAATTCAGTTGTTGAATATTTGAATAAATAGGTAACACTTTACAATACGGGTGCACTAATAAGCATTAATTCGTGCTTAACTAATGCACAGATAATACTGAATTAATGTGTTACTAATGATTATTTAAACTATTCATTAATGGACACACGAAATATATAAACAATACAATACACGAGATCTATTTTCCCACTGGATTCACAACAGCACAGTCTTGTGCTCGTTGCTACGATACGCAGACAGACTCAGTGAATTGACGACCAATTAAAATTGCTCATTTTCCATACAGAAGCTATGTTTTTTTTTCCATCGCTTGAAGTTGAGGTGAAATGGCGGAATGAAGCACGAAAGGTAATTTAGATCGCACTTCTCACATACTTTCCGGTTGCACAAACACTTGAATCAAAGATTGATGTTATGAATTAAATATTCTGGCTAATTTTCTAAAATATTAATATTATTTCATCTAATATATGAACACAATGAAAAAACATTTTTAACCTGGCTTTATCCAATACTCAGATTTCGTTTTTTTTAAATATATGCAAATTGGCACATATTAAATTATATATTGCCTAATTTGCATATTTAAACATAAAATTAAAGAAAACTTGATACATTTTCTTTTTCTCATCTTAATATAAGTAATAAACTGGGAAAGTTTCATGGTGATATCTGCTAGTTAAAAAGTTTACCCTATTCATCCGTAGTGTCTCGGCTTATAACTATAAAGTTGAACAGCGAATTACTGTAACATAAATATATGCATAACGTTGCTCCGTGAAGAAAGACAAGTGTGCATTCTTACACAGCAGCAGGGACATTATTCACTAACGTTACAGTGGCTATTGAATCTGCCTAGCACTATAGCTAATATTACCAAATAGCTCAAATAGGCTAGTTAAATCTTCACTTTAGGTGTTTTGTGCAACCGTTCTTATAAGTAATTGTATTGCATTTCTTTATTACATTGTATTGCATTTTGTAAAAATATAGTGTAAGCCATGCATTGCTTGAAAATATTGAGACGTAGTAAATCAGTATAACAGACATCTGTAGACATGAAGTGGCAGCTTCAGCCGTTTGCAGCTATGAAAAGTGTGGCGGCTGCAGCAGCCATTTAGGTTTTGGCTGAGCCGGCTAGCCAGCCAATAACGTCATCAGCCAGCCATTATTCTCAAAACAAATGGCTTCGGGGTCTAGAGCCAAAGCCTTGTATTTCAACTTCCAGATAATATGACAGGTACACTAATATGCATTAATACATGATTAATTACTTCATTGTTAGTGCAAATTCATGTGCGACTTACTACAATTACCAAATGACTAGTTAATAATGATGTGCCCCAACAAGTAAAGTCATAACATAATGATATCTTTGCAAATCGTTAGCTAATGATTAATTAAAGCAGACAACTGGAAGTTGAAGTGCATAGCTTTGACTAATTGTGGTAATTAACACATTCATTTACACTATCAGTTAATAAAATATGTTATTAAGGAATTAATACACAATGGCACGTTGAATTAATAGAAATTCGTGTATTACTTAATCTATTAATCATATAGACTCTTTATTAGTTGCTGATGCAGTAATCATTAATTAATGGTTTAGTTCTTAATGAGTTATACATTAACTCATGATTATCTGTGCATTAGTTAAGCATGAATTAATGCATATTAGTGCACCCGTATTGTAAAGTGTTACCAATAAATATTTACACATTAAGAAATTTGCTGGACAAAAAGCAGTTGAATGTGGGAGTATACTACAGAACACAATCTATATGAAGTTACTTTGTGTCTTTATTTAGTCAGAACTCTTTAAAAAATAAATAAAATTCAAGTGTGCTATTACTGAACTTTCAAAATAAAAATAAGAGTATTTTTTAGTCTACTTGTACTTCTAATATATTTAATTCAAACTTGACATACTGATAGAAAAGTCTACGGATTGAAGTCAATCTTTTGATCAAGATATTTAAAAGGTACATTTTTTAAGTGTACATTGCTTGTAGTTGTGTTTACTCTTTTGATTGAGTAGCTTATTAAATACTTTTTTCACATCTATTATCTTACATGTTTTGGCATCCAATTCAACATAGTTGTTTAAAAATATTTATTTATAAAGAAAACAGATATGTTCCTAATTCTGGGTAATTTTTCTGTAGTCCATAGTGCACATGCATTTTGTTGAAATCTACTTTAAGTACAGTTAAAGGTATCTCAAGAACAACAATTAATACCTAGGAACATTAGACTTAATGCAAAAATAATATATAAATGGCCAGACTGATCTCATGAAGTAGCGTGTGTATGACACGCCAATTCGTATTTTTCATTTTTGGCGTGCTATCAACACGCATAATCGCCTTTCAGCGTGTTTATGAACGCCGTTGACTTAACGTTATATAAATATATGACTTACCTCAACCCCGTCCCTAAACTTAACCGTCACTGGGGTTAATGGCATTTATGACTGGAGATTTGACGGCGTGTTCGGACACGCGGAATGATGCGGGCGTTAATGGCGTAGACATATACGCATACACGCGGACACACGCGGATAGCACAAAATGCGTGGAGATAACACGCCACTTGACTCGAAAGTGGCGTATATGTTTACGCAAAAGTCATGATGTCATGTTGAAATAGTAAACAATAAGTATGATGAGAAGGTCACTTACAGAAAACTTACTAAACCTACAACCTAATTTGTAGTTTACTGAGAGTATACTTTAATGTGTACTTTGATCTAGTAAAAAATGTTCTACAAGTATTTAAACTATTTGTAGGATATACCTATAAGTTCACTTGCAGTGTAGTTGCAGCACAAACAAAAAACTTAGTTGTAAACTAGTTTTGTACTCAATGTTTACTACTGTTTAGTATACATAAACACATTAAAAAGTGTGCCAATTTAGTCCCAGGTAGTATTTAAATAGTGCACTTACAAGAACACACTGAAAGAATATCTTTCCCCTATGTAAAATACATATTTATTACATGACTACTATGTTGTGAAAGGTTGAGTGTTTGCGGGAGAAGGAGACAGAACTCCAGGCAACAACTATGTTTGTTGTGAAAGCTTGCACACACACACACACACACACACTTCCACACAAGGAAGCAGGAGTCAAGTCTCCATTTATATAGCACTTTTAACAATACACGGGTTTCTTGTATACAAACAATTGGGGCAACAAAATGCTCTGTTATGCCAAGTTCTGTAAAAGAATCCATGTATACAGTGTTTCAAAGCAGATTTACAGTGAGAATAGAAAAATATGCAACAAAGTTTTTGTCTTCTTGAACGTCGTGAAATAGCTTTTCCTTCAGCCAGACGGATATTTCTTGTGCTTTTGGTGTAAACTTATCATTTGTTTCTTTTTTTCTTGTCATGTTAGATATAAAAGATCTTTAAGTCTGTCAACAAATCACAAAAACATATACTGCACTTCAATAAACCAAACCCAATTCATTTAAGGCGAACCAGAAAGCTGCAAATGGCCTCAGTGCTGTTAGTGTTCCCAATGTAAGTGGGCTTCGAACAAAAGTACGTTTTAGACGGTCTGAGATCATTTGGGGTGTATACATGTTACATCCGCCTTGAAGTGCTCAACCAACTAGGTGTAAAAACACACGGAGGCTTTTCCTTGAAACTCGAAGAAACGTGTATACAATAACAACATCTTCCAATCGAATCTTAAAAGAACCAATTCAGCAACAACATTTGTTAATAATACTGTGATTGAGTTTGTTTGGAGATATTTCGTACCTGTAGATGAGGAAGGTTTCTCTGCCATCTTCACTAAACGTGACTTCAGAATCCAATAAAATGCTTCTTAGAAAACAAATAAGTACATAAATAAATCACACTCTTTATATTAAATATATTGAGTATTTTGCCAGCTAAAAGCAGAGAGAAGAGCAGCTGGTAGAGGATATTTATTTCCGTGTTCCAGTTAGACCTGTTCTACCTGTTAGAGGAGGAGTCAAACTCACAGGGTGCTTCTCATTTCTTATTTGTGCATCCTCGTTTCCTTTCCTTGATTCCTTTCCTTGCGTCTCAGCTCCACCCCCTGTAGGACGCGAGGGAAGGAAGCGAGGAAAGGAAAGGAGGACAGAGGAATCGAATAAAAGCTTTTTTATATCCATTGGAGTACTTGATCACTCGAGCGTCACTCCACAGTGTCATCAGCAGCGCTAAAAGGATCTGCCCTTATGTTGTTGAAGTTTGGTTATTTAATAAATTCATAATAAATAATAATGAAGATAGGCTATACTATTGAAATATCAGAGATGTGTGGTTTATATAAACTGCAAAGGTAAAGTATAAATTAAAATGATTGTGACCGATGTGAAGTGGGAGGAGAATTGACACGTGCGTCACGTTTAGTCAATATAACAGTTCCGCGTAGGATGCACCTGTGTATCCTCGCTTATGACTCCTCAGGAAGCCTCCTCACTCCTCGATCCTCGACTCCTCACGGTGCAATTAGGCCCTGTCCCAATACTCCCTTGAGCCCTAAGGCCTTCCTCGAAGTGGACACTTGTTGAAAGTGCACTTTAGCGGAGAAAGTGTGCAAGGGCCCGAAGCTGTGAAGAGCAGAATTGGGACAGTTTTGCACACGTCAAAAAGCTACGTCAATTCTGTTGTGATTAGCAAACACTGTTCATTTGGCTAATGTGTGTTATGCTTATAATAGCTGTAACATGACACAATCCTTTGAATTAAAAAATTAAAATCTTTTTTTTTTTTTTTTACTCTTAGCCAGCAACCTTTCTGTTAATGTTATTAATATTAAAACATTTTTTTGGCTAAGATAATATGTGATTGAGGTTTACCTGAGTTTATACTGCCTTACCATATTCACAGAGATTCGAAATGCAATGTTAATTGTTATTATGGAAATTGATGAAATTCCCATACATGAAAAAAAAAAAAAAAAAAAAAACATGACGTGTTGGTGATATATTTTGTATAGGCTATATATTAAAATAGTCTAACATATAGGCTGTATAAAATAAAATGACACAACCCTGTCTCTTTTATATTTTATTGACCAAGAATAACCATTATTAAAGTATAAGTAGCTTAAAAAGTATAAGGAGCTATATAAGTCAAGAAATAAGGCAAGTTAAAAGATTCAGTCAAACATACGTTTCAACGTTACAGATAAATAGCCTAAATATATAAAGTTATGAAACTTCACTTTTCCCCTCAGCCAAAACGATTTGCCAGGGAACAAATCATAGATTAATGAGACCAAAGATCGCCCGTCTGATATACACAAGCCGATTTATAACTCATGTTTAACCACTAGAAACAGAGCCCGCGGGAAACGCGAATGACTAGCCGGGGCAAGGCTGTTGCAGGCGGGGTACATGAGCGCTGAGCACCCGCCGCCCTGTGACTACTGGAACTCCGAAAACGTCAGATCAATTTTTTAAAATAGGCGCTATTTTTATAAATAAACCACAGATTTCAGCTTTAAACAACTATATTCTCGACTGAAAAACTCTTAAAACTACATTTCGTGACCCAATAACACAAATATTTTTGAAAAACTCTTCACCACAATGGCTTCCTTTATCTTCGGAGTTTCCGCTCCCGAACAGCACCATAGCAACCGTTCTCCCCTACAAGGATTCTGGGTAATATCCCACAGCAAAGTGTGGTCTGATGCACACTTACGAAAAGGGTGCATTAAGTGCCCTTTTGATCACCCCTGGAGAACACTATTAGAGGATTGGGACACCCTACGGTCTTGCACCCCTTATCGAGAACGCGCATTGAGGGGCACAAGGGCGCAAGTGCGGATATTGGGACAGGGCCTTAGAGAATTGAGATGTCCTTCAAGATGGCTGAGCTCGATCGGTTTCCGGGTCATAGGAGGGAGGACGGAGGAGCGAGGAGACGAGGAGGGATATTGAGGGTGCTTCTCATTTCTTATTTGTGCATCCTCGTTTCCTTTCCTTGTTTCCTTTCCTTGCGTCTCAGCTCCACCCCCTGTAGGACGCGAGGGAAGGAAGCGAGGAAAGGAAAGGAGGACAGAGGAATCGAATAAAAGCTTTTTTATATACATTGGAATTCTTGATGACTCGAGCGTCACTCCACAGTGTCATCAGCAGCGCTAAAAGGATCTGCCCTTATGTTGTTGAAGTTTGGTTATTTAATAAATTCATAATAAATAATAATGAAGATAGGCTATACTATTGAAATATCAGAGATGTGTGGTTTATATAAACTGCAAAGGTAAAGTATAAATTAAAATGATTGTGACCGATGTGAAGGGGGAGGAGAATTGACACGTGCGTCACGTTTAGTCAATATAACAGTTCCGCGTAGGATGCACCTGTGTATCCTTGCTTATGACTCCTCAGGAAGCCTCCTATCTCCTCGATCCTCGACTCCTCACGGTGCAATTAGAGAATTGAGATGTCCTTCAAGATGGCTGAGCTCGATCGGTTTCCGGGTCATAGGAGGGAGGGCGGAGGAGCGAGGAGACGAGGAGGGATATTGAGAAGCACCCAGAGAAGCACCCACAGTGGCTGATTTTCAAATGGAGGGCTGCGTCCTAGATGTAAGGCATGTTATAGACGAATCCGACGAGCGTTCTTGTGTAGGCTGCCATCTTGTGGCGACGCCATTACTGAGCTGTTACACCGGCATAGACATATGCACCAGTATGTAAACAAACCTCGGAGATAAGGTGATAACGCACCCTTGATGACAGCTACAGCCAGGCAGACTTGTTGGGTTGATGATGTTAGACATTGGCCTCCAGTCACAGATGAAGGTACAAACGATCTTACAGATTATTTATGAAAATAGCTTGGCAAGCAAGCTAGGCTAACGTTTGCTACCAAGGAAACTAAAAAAAGATCTGTCCATTTGGCAACAATAAATGAATAAATAAATGAAATCAAATAAACAATTTTATGTTTTTCATTTGTGTCCATTATTTATCTCATTTTTACATTGCAACGGGCATGGGTAAGGTAACGTTACAGCTAGAAAGTATACATAATATCGACCAACTACTGTTTTTAAACCATGGAAAGAGGTCAATATAACAGCAGGAGAACAATTATGTCACATAACGTTACATTCAGCTCAGGAAAGCCATTTAATGACCATAGCATGTTAATTGAATAGAAAAAATAACAAGAGAGGAGATTTTGCTGATCACTATATCACATATTTATTATATTTTTTTTCTTATGTCATTAAATAATTGTTATTATACGCGAATGTCCGCGTCTTGTACTCGCCCAGGAAATCAGTGTTTACCGTACGGCACCAGACCAGGGTATTCACAGTGTTTTCTCTTCAAAATTGAAATTTTACTGCCACCATTGAAACAATTTATAACGGAAACTGTTTACCCACTCGACATTATACAAGGGATAACGTTGTAACATTAGTGACAGTCGTAAATCGCGAGCTGTTTATTCAGTGGACGCAAGTTGCAACTAAAACAATAGGAGGCAATGGCGCAACGCTACCCAGCAACAGCTCAGTAATGGCGCCCGCTTACTTCCGGTAGTTTCGCCGGATTCGTCTATAGAGAAGAACCCAAGTGCAGTTAATTAAAAATGAAACAAAAACATGGCGTGGCATCCCAGATAGCAAACTGACATTGAATCAACGTGGAAATATGACATCGAAACAACGTTGATCTGACATTGTTTTGCTCATCGAATTAACGTTGAACCAACCATGCGTCATTCTTTCAAAACTAACGGAAAATCAACTTGAAATCAACGCGTTGTTTCAACGTTATGAAAGCAAACCAATTTTCGATTTCATTTAGCTTTGAAGAATGCCGCGTCTGACGTTGGTTCAACGTTAATTCGATGAGCAAATCAACGTTGTTTCAATGTCATGAGAGACGTCGTTTCCACGTTGATTCAATGTCAGTTTGCTGTCTGGGATGAACTCCAAACAAAAACATGACGCTTACCCACAGTGGTTAGAGGGAAACAAAACTTGACAAAGACGCATGGCAAACATGAGGACTTAAATAAAATTTATTGAAGGTTGTAGAATGCACTGATTGCTATTACGGTTCTAAATCACCTTAGACTATTCATACACAATTGATGTCCAGTAACTAGGAGAGGAGTAAAACCCAGAGCCAAAGATTAAATTCACTCTGTATTGATTGGTACATTTTTTTCTCAATGTCAACAAATAAAAAATATAACAATAATCAGCATAGGCCTACGTAAAATAAACAAACAATAAAAACAATGATTATATTCAAAAGATACAACTCTATGAAGAAAGAGCAACGAAGTGGTGGTAATAAGTAAGTGTACTCAGTCTTAACAAGTCTCAAATATTCCAGAGGAAGCCCCCTCTGGCGACAAGCGAAACTGCAACCAGAGCTGTGCGCGTTCATGGAGGAACACACACACACATACGCACGTTTGCACGAGCTGTTCATAAACGGAGCATCAGCCGTACACTGTGCGGCACACATCTTTTGTTACAGTCATAATGAGGTAATACAGTAATAAATCTGCAAGTCATTTAAAATATATGAAAGGAAAGGCACTCGAGTAAATTACACACTTATGTATGTGTGAGAGGGGGAAACGGGGGTAGTAGAAAACTTCGGTTTTTGTTTCCATCTATCTCCCTGTGCTTACTGTATCCACTTATGATTGAATTATTATGGAAACACGTTCAGTTATCACTTTGTATAGGCTATGACCCGTTTGAGCCCTAGAGACGACCGGAGATCTCTCCGTTTGTTGAAAGCTTCCCGATGTTGACTCTCGTCTTATTCCGACGCATGGCACTGGACAGACAGAAGTTTTATTTTCTGTCTCACGTGGAGTTTGCGTTGGGGTTTGTAATGAGCTACAAGCCGGTCTCTTTCCGCGCCATATACAGATTTAATGAAGTGCACGTCACCGAAAGCA